TGCTACATGGCAGCAGTTCTGAAGGACTCATTCTTGCAGATAGGTTCATCTCCCTCTAATCAGTAAAAAAAAAAATAATTATTTGTTCATCAGTGGCTATACTAGCCCTAAACTTGCTGAACCATCTTTTCTGCCAAAGGAGTCCTTTGGGGACAGACATTGCAGAAGAGTAGAGAGGGCTCACCAGAGGCCAGAAATCTGGGACTTCAGTTCCTACTTCTACATAACAGCACATTTTTAAAGAAATCTCTGTGCTTTTAAAAAAATACCTTAGTACTAGAGAAATACTTGCTCTTGCAGTAGAATTTGGCAGAAAAATCCAAGTTTGTTTCATGTTAGTTTTATGCTGTGACACAAACTTGGTTGCAATATACTTTTTTAGAATAACACACTGGTACACAAACACCAGGCAAGCTTTCCTGCACTGAGAGCTATTGGATTGTATAATAAATAAAAAGAACTGGGGACAGCAATGTAGTGATCTAACTGAGCTTGACTCTTGTGCAATGCTCTGCTCCCAAGAGTTTAGCTATGAAAATTCTCAGTTACACATATTCTGCTACATTGCTATAGCTCTGTGCTCTCTCTAACCAAAACCAGGACAAGCATATTTAAATAAATTACCTTCTTGCCCTGCTTAATATCTTAACCAACATCTTTCCAATCTATCTTCCTGTCAATTCACAGTAGTTTGAAAATAAATTCTAGTGATGTCTGAAATAGAAACAAAAAACACCTGTGATGTGAAACAAATTTTTTAAGAACAAATGATCATTTTCCATTCTGCTAAAGTCTAATCATGTGTTCATTTGATAAATATATATGGTCAATGTTTCACTATTCCCTGTCATGACAGATGTCCTTTAAGGTTTTGTCCTAGTAAAAATGTTAGACACAGTTACACTCATGCAGCTTTTATTACAATCTTTCAAAACTTCAATTTATCGTTATGGTGAAGTTAGATCAGATAAAAAGACAATTTATTTCCAACTTGATAATGTTAAGTCCAGCAAGGTCTGACCACAGTTAGCTATTATTGTTTGAAGAATCTAGTTGAAAAACTGAGGGTTGAAACCCAGAAGTTGACAAACTGATGCAAGCAGTGATCAAGCAAATTTACATGAGCACTCTAGAAAGGCCAGTCCTAAATTACTGAATGAATTCTAGCATGCCAGAGAAGAGTAAATCAACCCAAATCTTTCAGCGTTATGTGCAAACAAGAAAGCTGGTGTAGTCATATAGCTTAACTCTCCATTTGTCTTTCACAACACCTTTGCTTGGGAGCTATGTTCTTCTCTCAGAAACCGCTACTGTACTGGTAGGTTGCTCCCACGCTTGCTTTCTCTATAGGGAGGGAGAAAACCAAGCCTAGCAGGGATACATACCACCTATCCAGGTGAAAAGGCAAAACAAAGGAAAAAATGTGTGCTGAGCTATAGATGGTCAATGGTCTTGAATGACTGCACTATGGAATGCATGCTTGTCATTCTGCTGACATCTACCCACTGCTGTTCAGAGACATGCTTGCGAACTCTCGGTTTAAGAGCAACAAATATGGTTAGTATTCTTTAAGTCTTAAATGTTTCAGAGTATAAATTCAACTTTATGCCCATATGTTTAATTCCTGGTAATGACGTAAGTCACACCTGTTACAGAGACAGACTTCTCTGAAAACTGTTCCAGTGTGTGATAAGACATTCATAGAAATATAAAATATTGTGTTAACGACTGTGCTTTGCTTTACATTTATGAAACTAGTCATTAAACCAAAGCTATGTTATTTTCAATATTGCATAGATATCTCTCTATGCTATCAGTATGGCATGGTAGACTAGCAGAAAATAGGTAAAAATAAGTCCTTGCCTCTAGGAGCATTAAAGTCTAAATTTAAAAAGTAGATCAGAAACCTTACAAACTATACGGCCATGTAAGGTCAGTATTTCTTCCACCTCCCTTTAAAAATCCTTTGGGTTAGAATGAGGGCTTTTTGGAAAAAAAGTTCTTAAAGTTTACTATGTAATACAAGCATAAATAAACCAGGGAAAGTATTTAAATAAAGCAGGGAAGTGGTTGAGTCAGCACCCCTGGAGGTATTTAAAAGACATGTGCATGTGGCATTTAGGGATATGATTTAGTGGTGGACTTGATAGCGTTAGGAAAAATATTATGTAAAATAGAAAATATTTATGTGCTCGGACTGAAACTGCATTCTTTCAAATCTTTACTGACTGTGTAGTCTATGCAAAGACTGTCATATGATAGTAAGATTTAGGTGCTATTATACATAAGCTCGCATAGTTGAGCTCTGGTGGATGGAAGCAGTCCAGTTATAAGCATGAATTAATATAAAGTGAATGGAGAAGATTGCAAACTTGGCTTGAACACATACACAGAAATCCGACTCCAAAAAATACTGCTCAAGGGAACTGCCCATCATTTCTATGGAACAAAAGCAAATGTAAGAGGTATTATTTACACAAGGCACGAAATCATACCATCCAACAGATATCAAATTACGGAAAGAAACTCACAATAATGAAACATCACAGATTTTTCAGACTGAAGTACTGCAATGTGAAAGATAGAAATCAGAAGAATCATCTTTACAGCTTTAATAGTCTCAAGGTGTTGCTAAAAAAATATGAAAGCATGACTCTACACTTACTGGAATAAAAGGCATAGCCTTTGTACTTGAACACAATCTGAGTAAAACGTTTGGGCATCTGGTCATTTTACATATTGGGAAGGAAGGGCCACAATTTCTGTGTTACTGAGTAGCTGAATGTGAATATTAACAGAAGGAATTATGTACTTTATGTACCAAAAATGGTTCTCCAATGAGCAAGAAAGACATAAGTAGAGCAGAGGATACTCAGGGGAATACTTATCCTTTCTCTTCCACAACAGCAAAGTGCTCCAATATGTATTAGAATTACTTATTACCAATCAAAGGACTTAAGTACAGGCTCATGACTTATGGACTTTAGTGGAACTTAAGCATGTACTTAAGTGGATTCCTTGATCCTTGGAAGCCTTAGCCCTTGACTCCTCATTCGTGCAGCTTAACTGCTTATCAGCCCTTCTACCTAAAAAGATACCTGCAGAGCAAAGCCAGGATTTGCTTCTATCTGATTAAAATTGGAAGCAAAGGAAAATATGCCTGTAAAAAATATTGCTGCAAACTGTTTTCCCTTCCAGATTTCAACCAACAAAGGAATATGCAAAAGGAGAAGAGAATTGCAAAGCATGTCTTGTTCAAGCAGGTTCCCAGGGTTTTTCCCCACCTCTTCATTCCAGATTGCTTTCTTAGCCACCCTACCATAATTACTCTGTTGCATGCCTCATTACAGATGAAGTTATTGTTGTTACACGTTGCTGTTTCACAATAATCAATGCATTTGTACTCCTAGCTCCAAATCTCAAAAGCCACACAAACACAGTAATGGCTGTGATCAGCAAAAGAATTTAATATGTGGACAGTGTTCCACTTAGTAACTGGTGATGGGTACCAGCTTCTCATGTATTCTAGCCAGAATGTCTTGCTTTTGATATCAGATGTGCTACTGTCTGTCACCACATATCTTACTAAATCAGTTTGCTTATGGGCAGTGTAACTAATATAACAAACCCTGTCAGCAAAAGTTGCTGTGTATCTCAATTCAGAATCCAGTTCCCAGTATGTCAGCGATGGTAACATAAAAGCCACCCATATACATATGTAAATTATGACACAAAATTAAATAAAATCAAAGTAATTTAGCACAGAATATATAAATCTTTTCCATTAGCGGGTAACAGGTATGATTCACAGCTAGTGCTTGGCTTTTATACAATAAAATAATCTAATGTTGGCATGTTTAATTCTACATAGTAATGCAAATATAGAACTAAAAAAAGTTGGAAATCAAAAGTTTTGGCTAGATCTCATTAATATTTACTACTTTACATTGTAAAACCAATCCTGAACCAGTGGCGTCATTTCATAGGATTGATTTCATTATTTTGTGGTAAAACTCAAAAAGCATTCCGAAGAATTAGAGAAGGAGACCAAGAGGAAAGGAGGCAGCCACAGATGAGTTGAATAAAACTCAACAATATCAATAAAATTGCTTAGGTTATTACTCCTTGGCAGGGAAAGCCAAGGAGTACATTATTTATTTATTTATAAGCAATACAGTGGCATCTACTGTAAAAACTTCCCCCCCCCCCCCCCCCCCGCCATTATTGTTTTATGGCCTACTTATTTTCCTGTGACATCAGCTAACTGAAGATTACAGGATTACTTCAGCAATTCATCAGAGGTCATCAAAGTTGGGGTTCAGAAGTACCAGACAGAAATGCTGTGCATTCAGATCCTATTGGAACAAGTAGGAACAGAGCTAAAGAAAAGACCTCAGTCCTTTAGGGCTCAGCTAAGCTCTTTTAAATAGGAGAGCAAGCTTCTTGACAAAAATCCCTGTACAGTCTAGGTTATGTTTACATGAACTGGCACATCATCTATTTCAGCAGCTCTAAGCAGTACTAGAATGTGTACTTAGGACTGCAAAAAATAAAGGTCAATGGATTTTTTTGGCAATGGACAAGGAAGTAAATATAAAACCTCTAATGCACTGATTGCATGGGGAAAAAAAAAGTAATAGGAGAAATTTTGATGCATAAAATGAAGCTTTAAGAAAGGCAGAAAGGTGGGCCAGCATTATTGTAGTTGTAGGAAAAATACTAGTTCTACGAAAACCAAAAGAGCCAGTTTTGAGAAATATGTGCATACAGTGGATGAGACATTTTGCATGCAAACTAACCAGATTTTCCATCGAGACTTATGTGTGAGGTCTAATTGGTCATTTGCACACAAACAGTTAACAAAACAGCACATTCATTCTTAGCAAATACATGTTTAAATTTATAGCCTCCAATTTTTGCCTGTGGGCTACTGAGTAGCTGGAAGTGCTAGAAATGAGGGATGAGGAATAGTGGTGTAGGTTCCAGAAGGCATACTAGCAGCAGTCCTATGCTTGTTCATCACTAAACTGGAGGGAAATCCCACCACTCATTTAAATGATGGTTGTGTTATCACTGTATCACATTTCAGATTTTTTTCCTGTTGGTTCTGTCTTCCTAAAGGTACAACAGCCATTGAGTTTTGGGATAGCACATTGTTATTACAACACAAAGGGAACTCTTCCTGGCACAGATAAAGATACAGCAGATTCAAATACATTTATTGAAAAACGTGATGGCTGTTGAGCTAAATCTTTTAATTTCTATAAATGAAATAATTTGACATTGTATTGTTATGAAAACCCAAAGAGCTAAAAAGAAAAAAGATACTGCAATTAAATCATATACTCAGATTAAGCCCAAATCACTGAAAATTATGAAAGTCTTGGTAATTCACCACGTGCATCTCTCTCCATGCTGTTTGCCTGACTTGTTTTTCACTTGAAAGTTATTACAAACATGGATTCTTCTTTTTCCACTAGCAGTTGCTCTGGTCTCCATCCAAAAGAGGAGCAGTGCTATGACACAGATTGCATCACCATGTGATAAGCATTTTATGCTGAAGCAGTTAATTAGTCTCCTACTTAGAACTAAAAAAATAAATGTACATCATCTTTTGCAGAAGCTTCAGGACATGTGTATCAAAAAGGGAGAGTCCAGATATTTCTGCAAAATTTTCAAAGATGGATGAGCAACAGCAAAACAAACCATATGACATAAAAATTGATAGAAGACAGCTTTTTCATTCTAGACTCTCAAATTCTTCATTTCTCTGTTTTATTTTCATTTGTTGGAGAGCTTACATTTTCAGAAGACAGTAAGTGGAATAGAAAAACGGTTATGGCAGAACATTCTAAACCCTGTTGGAGACTTCAATTATCAGCCATTATTATATAAAAAAAACATTTTGTTTTGTGATTGAGAAACCAAAAGCAGAATTTAAGGACAGAGAAGTGACTGTGGTTTTTATCTTTAACTCTAGCCATATTAGAGGCCATACTACCACTTATATTCTGCCTATATGAGCCATCTAAAAAACCCTTAATTTATCAAGCTAGCCCTTTCCATGATTCAATACCATACAAAGCCAGACCTAATCTACTAAGATAAAAACATCTATCTCTATTCTTTCCCATCTTTTACAGGAATTAAGTAAAACTGCCTTTGTCTCCTTTTTAAGTAAGCATGAAACTACTTAGAGGATGCTAAGTCAAGAAAAAATACACAGAATTGATAGTCAGCCAAAGGTGTCATAATACAAAAGCAGGGCTATCAAATTTTGGCAATAAGTTCACTGTTCCAAAGTTAGTATTGCTAAGGAATGCAGGTGGATGCAGATAGATGGGAGAAAAAGGAAAACTGATGCAGAATGGACAGGGAAAGCAAATGAAGAGACAGCAAACTGGGAAGCAGATGAATACACTCATGGCTAACTGACTCGGTATTTCTTAACCAAATTCCTTTCCTAATCAGAACAATTGTAAGAAAAAAACTGAGTCCTCTAAATCAGCATGAAATTAATATTTAAATCAGTTCTAGAAGATCAGTGTTCACAGATATATACTATGTAATCTGTACACGAATTACATACTTTTATTAGTGATAAGATCTGGTAGGCAAATGTAGCTTAGACAATAACTTTATGATTGATACAAAAAGACTATATATAATTTGGCATGTCAGATGATTAAAAATTTTGCTATTCTTAAGTGCATTTCTAAAATTTCAGATGTTAAAATATTTAATATTCAGCCTGCTGACACATTTGGAGCTATATGGATTAGAAGAAAAAAAAATATGAATCTGAAAAAGCATAAAAGTTAAACACAAAATTTCTCTTTACAAACAATATGAGTAATATTTACTAGTATTTCACATGCCAAAGCAGCTTCAAATACAATGCCTATTCCTCATGAATGACGAAGACTGTAGAAACTTACAGCATACATTACATATGTTTTTCAGAACAAGCTCATGATTACTGAGCTAGACCACATGTCACGTTCAGATTTCCCACTGATCCTGCTGTTACATATGAACAAGGATGGGAAAAGCTGTCTCTTCTGAACACTATGTGGAACTTAGAGAACACAGCTACATGTGCCATGTGTCACAAAACCTTTTGTTCCATAATTTGGTTAATGATCTAGCTGGTTTAGAGTTATAGCTTCCCTCCCATATTACACAAGCACAAAGTAAAACATTTGTGACAGACATGTAAATAATTAACATATAAAAATGTAATATACACAGATTCCAGACCTGTCTGTACATTTCAACTGCTCCCTTAGCCTGCTATTTTGAGGTACAGGATGCTTTTAGTTTCCCCAAATAATAATAATAATCTCACAGAATCAGGGCCCTTTAATGTAGTTTTTCCTGTTGATAAAAAACAGATTTTTGTTTTGTAGCATGTAATCTAGGTAACATGAGCCCATGCATTAAAATAACCCAATGATTTTCTGTGTTAACTAATATTTTAACACTAGTGCATCAAACACTGAATGGCTGTTCAGCTCCACTGACTGAACATTGCAAGAGCTTGTCAAAACATTTTACCTGACAGATACGTTTGTTCTTCCATTTGGTCAGCACACACTGGCCATTCTGCATTAAGTCCTAAAGGACAACAGAAAACAGAGTAGGGTTGGCAGTACACATTGTTGGCTAACATAGTTCCGATTTTCAAGTTATAGATGAAGCATGCCACACAAAGATGCAGCTGTTTTAGAACAGCCTGCCAGACAAAAGCACATTTATCATCACTGGGAGAGTTGGATCTTTATGAAAATTAAAGCTGTTGAAAGAGGTTTGAAAACCAGATTACATGTTGCTGTACTTGAAGCTTTCTGAGACATACCTCTACCTCCTTGAGCGTATCTCGCAGTTTATCTGGTCGCTTGTTTTTCAGTACCCAAGGATAATCTCGTGCTGACAAATAAAAAAAAAAGAAAGAAGGTAGAGAGTTGCATATATATAGGCAACTGCAGATATACGTGTGCGTATATATATATACACGCACACACACGTGTGTGTACAAACGTACTTTTATGTATCGTTAAAAAAAAGTTCAAGTTGAGCTTCCTTTTCCGTGCAAACACAAACCTAAGATTTCTAGGAGTTACCTTAAACATAAAACTTATCTATATTTGGAAGGAAACGGCTACGGTTTCTATTGGTTTCCATCACCAAATGATATCCTTTTGAGAAGCTCTGTCACAGAAACAGTTACCATGAAATAGCCACGCTGACCAGGACTTCACCGTGGCAATTGTGTATAAAGCTCAGGATGTAATATCTTACCTCGCTGCTGAGCACTTGCAATGAGAAAACATCTCAACATTCAGTATGTTAACTCAGATTCAAGTTATCAAATCCTAAACAGATACTATTCATTTGCACTAGTATTTTATTGCCTAATTTCATAAAGCAGGCACTAATGTGTCTGCAAAAATGCACGAATATATGCATATGCAGAGGTACTGATAACAGGTACTTGTCAATACCATAACTTATGTTATGGAGCATAGTTATTTATAGGATTTGTTCTTGAAAAGTTGATGTGAAGAATCTGCAAAGTCAAGCAAACAAGGAACTGCATGACTGCTACAGGCCTTTAACAAATTTACTAATGTTAAACTATTGTGAAAATTCTGGCCTAATACATGAATCCTGAAACTAAGAGGCAAAGCTCTCTGGAGTTGCTAGTAATTGGCTTGCTTCATGGCTTAGAATCAGTCTCTAATAACTTCTGAAATATCATCATTTAAGAGTGAGCAGTTTTCTGTTCATAAGTATACAATAAAAACACGAGAAACTAGAACACATTGTCTTTTTAAAATCTAGCCTATTTAAAGGAAACCTGATGAAAAGTTTTGAGCTCCAAGCCATCAGTTTGTATGCCAACTTCCAGACTGAATGACTTAACAGTTGTGTTTAAACCTCCCTGCAAAAACAAGCTTACAATAGAAGTGCTATAGAGTGAAAAAATTAAGGATTTCATATATCAACAAAAGAGCACACCAACAAACAACTTCTCTTTGTAATTTATTGGACTGAAGCCAGTGTTGGTGGAACTGTTATGATAATATTAATTAGGCATGTAAGATCACATTTTCAATGGGTGCCTTCAGAAATACTGGAATATTTATCCACATATACAAAATGGGAAGTTACCTGTAGAGATACCAAACTACATATACAAATCAGCAGCTGTGAATAGTTACCCAGAGCTCCTCTTTAAGAAGAGCCATACAGTGCTTTGTGCCTAGGCCATCCCTGTATTTACAGCAACAAGGTGCAGTAGCTCGTGTTCATTTTGCACGTCACACATTCAAAAGGCAGCAGTTGGGGCTTCTGTATGACGGGGTTTATCTGGGCCTGCTTCTCTTTTCATACAGGCAGTGCCTGTAAAATAATGCTATGCAGAGCACAAGGGATGTAAATCCGTTATGCTCCTCCATACTCACAACCCTTTCTCACCTCCCCACCTTTACAGAGCTGTATTGATTCTGAGTGACATACAACTCTCCAGAGCGAGTGCGGAATCACCGCACGGCTCTCTGCACCTTTATACCCATCCCCTGTGGGGCTTCAACCCGCTCCAAACACACTTCACGTTGTTGCAAATCACTTACCCTTCCCGAACACATTTTGCCTTCAAATGCATGCACAACTCCACGTGAACTTTCATTATGATAAAATAAAATGTTATGGCAATTCTTAAAGCCTGCATATTACTGCATGAAGTCAAAAATCAATTAGATTTTTCAGAATGGTCATACAATAATGTTTGAAAATTAATGAGTGTTCTGAGCGAGAGTAACTCTGCAAAAGCTGTAGAAGAAGCTAAAGGAATGTTGTATTAATATAAAAATCTGACACAGAACTGCTGTGTGATAGCGTAAATTGGAATTGCTTTTAACCAGATAATGAGGGAACAGTGTAAAAGTTTCTAAGCTCTCTATGAAGCAGCTGATATTAATGTGGAATTTTATTTTGGCTAAAAGTATTTTAGTTATCATTTTCATTTTTGAGGCAGTTGGTATTTCGATTCAAGAGCTGATTGGGAAAATGGTTATTATGTTTATTGCTCATCTGTTGAGTAAATTTCATATGGAAAAATTTGGATTGTGATCATTTTTACGATTCTTCTTAACAATGGATTTGAGAAGCAATACGTGCTACTGTGCTTAGTAACACAAGGAAAGAAAAGAGACTCCAAATGTACCTGGAAGGAATAATTACAACCTATCAATTGTTTTGTGCTGTGTAGTTGTGTGACTGTCTTGAGAGAGCATGTGCAGAAAGTTAAACTGGAAGGAGCCTGAGGTTATGTAAAGGCTTTTCCAAGCACATCACCCATCTAAATGAGTGATTTTGTATTGCTGTAACAAGAAACTCAGAAACCATCCTTACATTCTGCTAGCTTTTGCTTCTCTTCTAAGTAACCATGCTTCATCTGTGATGCTAAAGGAAAGAATGAAAAGATAAATGATAATCCTTACAACTGCTGTCAGCAAAACTTAACATTAGAAGATTCACACGGTTTGATAAAACACACAAATTTACTGAAAAATTAAGACGGCTGCAATGTTTTCACCTCGTAAAGGCAGATATCTTAAATTCGTGAAATTCAAGCAATGAAAGACAGGCTTACGCAGCCCAACAGGTGGCCG